GATAACCTGTCGAGATCGCCCAAGTTCTGGTAAACTGCGAAAAGAGCTGTGGCGGGAAGTCGGCTCCATAGTGGATGATCTTCTGGGTTATTTTCTTCATGCCCTTTCATTGTTTTCGTCAGCATTTCTGGAGTTCGATTATTTTTTCTTCTGCTTTCCATTTCGTTGATAATAAGTTACTGATCTTACACAAGATATTTATGCAATTGAATACTGTGACATGATTTTAAGAGCTACAGTGCTAAATAGTGTTACAAAAAAAGTATTTTTTTTTTTTGGAAATTCCAGACCAACATGCAAAATAAATAAGTTTAAAAAAAAAATAATAAGTGAAAACAATAACCCTTCTCGCCAGGGTTTCTTTCAGGCATCTCTCCAAGGAAAAAGGGAGGGGGGGGCGGCTGTAGACTGTACAATTCCTCGTTTATTCGTATTCTCCATTCATATTCATCCTTTGTTGGTCCATACATTTTCCTGAGAACTTTCCTCTCCCATGTGTTTAATAGGTTTTCTGCCGTTTTTGTCAGGGTCCAAGTTTCACGTGCATATATAACAACTGGTCTGATTTCATTTTTGTAAATAGTTTTCTTTGTTTCTCTTGTGAAGCTTTTACTTTTGAGTGTTTTCTGACTACTGACTACTATGCCCTGCTTCCGGCCTAAACTCTTTCTATTATTTCTCTTAGTAATTCGTTTCTTTCATTTCATAGAGATACTAGGTATTTGAATTAATTTGCTTTTTCATAAGTGTGGACTCTAATTTTAATTGCTTCATCCATCTGTTCAGAAATCTGCAAATAACACGACATCCATTACTCTCTCAGGTGTGCGTATTGAGTTAGCTCAAACAGTGCGGTCCTGGGTTTCTACCTAGATAGAAGACTAACTTTTGAAAGTCATATTAACATGCTATGCAGGGCGATTTTTCTGGAGCTGCGCAGGATTAGTCAAATCAGGCCCTTCCTAACAATTGATACAACAAAGAGGCTGATGTCTGCATTTGTGCTATCACGCATGGACTATTGCAATGCTCTCATGGTGGGTCTTCCAGCTACGCTCCTGGATAAAATTCAAATAGCACAGAATAATGCGGCTCGCATAGTTCTCCGCAAACGCAAATTCGACCATGCAAAAACACTTCTGAGAGAGTTGCATTGGCTGCCGGTGCGTGCTCGCATAGAGTACAAAATCGCAACTTTGTGCTACCGCTGCTTACATGACCTGGCGCCGTCCTATCTGAAAGAGCTGCTGACGCCTTATGTACCCAGTAGAGAGCTCCGCTCATCCGATAGTGGCAAACTCTCGACACCACGTGTTTGCCTTGAGACTTACGGAAAGCGCACTTTCGCATTTGCTGGTCCAACAATTTGGAACGCCCTTCCTGTCGATCTTAGAAACAACCAGACACTGGAGTCCTTTAAAACCGATCTAAAGACACATCTATTTCGCAAATACCTTCTGGGATGATTGTCTACCTTATTTTCCAGTTAATGCATAATGGCTGTGTTGCTCCGGGTTGAAATGGCTAGAAAGACTTTGAGATTGTATGCTTGTACTTAGTTTTTGTAGTGTTGCGTTTGTTTTAAATGTGGTAAATTATAGATATGTTTTTTGTTGACTTTGTACCGCGCTTCGAGCCTTTGGGGATGAAGCGTGTTTTTGAAATGACCTTCATTATTATTATTATTATTATTATTATTATTATAGTCATTATAATTAAATAAACAAATTTGATATGTTTTAATATATTTCCTTAGCAGTGCTATGTCATCAGAATATGCAAGATACTGAACGGGTTGATTGTAGAGAGTGCCCATTGGTTGTGGGTCTTGGTTTTCCCGCAGAAAGTATCTTGTTATTGTTCGTAGGGTGTCAAAATGTATGCTTCTTATACCTCTCTCTAATGTTAGGTTAAAAGCATACAAGAGAGTGTGTCTCCTTGTCTTAGGTCTCGTCTAATCTGAAATATCCTTGAACATTCTCCTTGAATCTTGATTTTGCTTTTTGGGTTGTTTATCAGCCTTTTCAGTTTTGTGGGTATGGCACACTCCTGCAGAATCTCATACAGATATTTAATTTTGATGCTGTAATAGGCCATTTGATATTCCACATAGGGTTGGTGCTCTGGGATATTATGTTCATAACATTTCTCTATTAGTCATCTAATGATGAAAATCTGATCAGTCGTTGATAGTTTTGCCTGAATCCTGAGTCACCTAGTATTTCTTCAGTGTACGGTTTTTAGTCTTTTGGCAATTAGCTTCGTCAGTATTTTGTATGAAACATTCAATAGGGAGATTCCTCTGTAGTTTGTGCACTGACGTATGGAGCCTTTCTTGTGTTTTGGGGTCATTAATGCTGTGTCCCATTCTGTTGGAATTTTCTCTTCTTGCCAAATTTTAGTTATACGTTTATGCATCTAAGTGTGTAGTTCAAGGGTGACACAAGTAGAATGAAATATTATAGTTTACGTCTCACTGGAGCAAAATTTAAGATTTTATTTTCATTATTATGGTTTATTGCCTAAAAGACACAACAAATTCTAGTAAGCACCAAAATGCATCTCTGCATTTTCAGTTTGCCTGACTGTCTTTAGCACCGTAAATTTCTGCACCCCTTCACTCATGCTGATCAATGATTCAGTATAAAGTTGATTATAACCTTGTTCTTAATGATTGCTCTGGGACACGCAAATAACTGAGTGAATTCTCTTGATGTATGGTTCTTGGCGTCATAATGCCTCCCACAAAACCTTAAAATATCCACCCCCCCCCCCCGTTAAANTAACTGAGTGAATTCTCTTGATGTATGGTTCTTGGCGTCACAATGCCTCCCACAAAACCTTAAAATATCCCCCCCCCCCCCCCCGTTAAAAAAGTAAAATAAAAACATTGAGCTCAAATATACTAACAATTAAACCTATTGACTTTGATATAATCAAACATTTTCTGGGGAGCAGGCTCCCCAAGCCCCTCCAACGATCAAAATTCATCGGCGCCCTCACTCAGATGAAAATGCTCCCCGATTTTGGTATCGATAGATACACCGCCTAGTGATGCAGCTACTATTAGTGCCGTCATGGGCTGGCAAATATTATTTCCATCCTCCCTTTCACGATACAAACTCTGCAGTTGTCCGAAACTATATTTAAGAAAAGGTGACAGCTCAGTGGACCACCCCATTCACCCTATTTTGACGCCAATAGCAGGTGCGCATTTACAGTGTTTGGCGTCAAGGGACAAGATTCATTTTTAAGGTCCCCCCCCCCCAATCCAATCTTGGAGTGTACTACTGCTGTTCAGGCTGTCGAGGACTGCTGTCTTGCTGTGAAAGATTGGATGTCCTCAAATAGACTAAAATTAAATGATGATAAGACTGAGGCAATTATTTGTGGTTCAGACACCTATCTTCGGAAAATTACCGTTGCATCAATAAAAGTTGGTAAATCAGATATCCTGTTGTCCTCGACTGTCAGAGACCTTGGCTTTTATATTGACAGTAAACTTAGTATAATTCCCCATATCAGTTCTGTTGTCAAGGCATGCTTCTGTCATCTGCGTACATTGGGTCAGCTGCGTTCTCAACTCAAAAAGAGAACAGCCAATGCTGTAGCAGTAACTCTAATCCAGTCAAGATTAGATTACTGTAATAGTTTTTTGTGGGGATTACCTCAGAACCAAATTCAGAGACTCCAAAAGATACAAAATACTGCAGCACGCATTGTATCGCGGATGAAAAATCTGACAACATCACCCCAGTTCTTAGAGATCTCCTTTGGGTTCCTGTGAGTGAGCGCATTAACTACAAAATTCTGTACCTGGCGTACAACTGTATAGATGGATCAGCACTGGAATATCTTAAGGAACTAATTTATAAACATTTATCCTTGAAGAGCCTGCGGTCTTCAACACTGCAATTGCTGAGTGTTCCTAGTGTCGGTAAACACAGAAAAAAAGTCGTACGGAGTGCACTCTTTTGAGTGCCAAAATGATGGAACAGTACGCCTCAATCTGTGATGGGCAATTGTAAATGATAATAAATCATTTAAGAAACAATTAAAAACTTTTTTGTTTAAATAGATTTCGGAGGACCAGAGCGCAGTGAGCAGTGAGCAGTGAGCGTGCTAAAATGGCATGGATACCGGTGCGATAGAAATATCTAACCAATCAATCAAACAATGATGAAAGTACTTACATTGAATCAATTGTAAGCATCAATTACAAATTATTCCACTTTTAAAACTAGTTGTACTGATGAAAACTTTTTATGAAATGAAATTATGAAATTATTACTGAATTAATTCAAATAGCTTCATTTTCTTTTTACTTATCTCTATAATATGCTTCTAATTTACAATCTATAAATTGTGTTTAGTTTGTTTTTTTTTGGGGGGGGGGGGAATGTTATTTATGTGTTTTTTTAATGGGGGCTAGGGGGGAGGTCATGCTTTCACGGGGTTGGTGGGAAAAAATAGTTTGAGAATCACTTCTTTGTACCCAAGTAATTTAAAATTATTTTTTTTGTTCATTCTAACTTCTAGCATCATTTTAAAAAATAACAAATTGCAAACTGTCTCTAGCAGTAAATCTACACAAAGGAATGTCAAATAACGCAATTGTGTAAACTGCCAAATAATTAGAAATCAAACGTCGATTTTAATTAATTTTGTAAAGAAAAAACTTCATGACTACATATTAAATGCATACTATATATACATTTATTGATAATCTAGTTTTATTTAAATGCATTAAATTATAAATGTGCGTAAGGCTTAACGCTCAAGTTTTATGTAAATTAAGCTTTGATACAAAACANAAAAAAAAAAAAATTAAAATGTTGATTTATTGGCTAATTTATTACGTAATAGCCTATAAAGCAATATTTTTATAAGAAGCAAAGCCTTAAAAAATCATGTTGATGTTATAGAATTGTACGCAAAGCTGCTTTTATGAATCAAAAAAAAAAAAAAAAAGAAAGATTGTATAAGAAATCTTCATGTATTGGGCGTAATGATAAAGATTAGATGTCATTTTCTTCGAACCACAAACTGTGTTGTGTTAGGCACCATGTATTCCCATCAGTGAACGTTTGGGGGAAATTCTTACATATGAATGGCAGTCTGAAACATACAAAAAAACTTGTTTGAGTCGAAAATGTCATTCATAGTTACTTTAGCTGTCAAGACTATAAAATGAAGGGAAACTCTATAACACATAATGTCAATCAACATTATTTATTATGCTATTTCCTCCATAATATGATATATAATTAAATTATCTGCCAATTACACGCATCTATGCGTGGACGAGCATTCAGGCCCTGTCGAAATATTAAGCAATAAGCACGAGTCCAGGGCTTCGCAGGAAAGGGTACACCACTATTTGTTTTAACATGATTGATCATGTCTTTTTAACTCATGAGCTATCTGCCACTACCACATCTACATATCCCTTTGTCTTTGGATCGTTGGGGCGCCACAGATGACGTGGAAACTACCCCCTTCCATTCCTATTTGTTTTCTACACTTCGCACAACAGTGCCTAGCTTTAGCCCCGCCCAGTCCACACTTTGATGTTATCTTCCAATCTTTTCTTCTTCCATATATTAAGGGCCCACTATCAATTTATTAATCATTTTGGCTCCTATATATGTCGAAGATATTTGCAATATTTCTGTGCCTGGTAGTGATGAAGATATTCCACTGATTACAAGTGCCATTTTGTGAGGGCATCATGCACTGGGGGATGGAAAGCTTGAGGCAATAGACACAAATGTGTCTAGTGATGTGTCTAGTGTTGTCGCCTCAACTGTTCCTTTTGAAAGCTCGTTCCAGTCCCTGATTGTCTTGGGCAGGAATGAGCAGTTCCTATATTGGCTTCTTGCTGGTATGAGTCTGAATTGCCTGTCATGGCCTCGTCGCTGTCTATGGGGGAGAGGGACGAGTTTCTGTTTAATACTGGAACAGTGGACCAGCCCATTATTTATCTTGTAATAATGGAGAGCCTGGATTGTCGTCGTCGTTCCTCCAATGGTGACCAGCCTAGAGTTTCCAGCATGCTACCAACACTAGAGGTATTCCTGTAGCTGTTCAGGACAAAGCGTGCTGCCCGTCGCTGGACCGCCTCCAACCTTTCAACGCTCTTCTGGGTAAATGGATCCCAGACGGCAGATGCATCATCTAAAACCGGACGGACAAAGGCTTTATAGGCCCATCCTCATCTTCTGCCTCCTCTCGTTGTGCCCTGCATGATTTCTTTGGCGAGCCCATTTTTTTCTCTCTCGTCACGTGGCCATACCATTCTAATTTGCGCTATGCTATCACAGGGGTCAAAGAGATAGAACAGTTTCTTTGGTTACATACTAGTTCGCAGTTAAGGAATGAAATATTTTAATGTCACTCACAAATTTCAAATTTGCTAACGGGGGGTGGGGGGGTGGGTGGCTACTCTTGACTTCTTATTTTTCTTTAGCCTGTTGGTTTTAAATGGAAAAAAAATGTCAAGTTTTATTTTTTGTTTGTTTGTTTTTTTTTTTGTTGTTTTTTAAATTATTATTATTATTTTTTAAATTACATTTTCCAATTGAATATCCCTAGAGTCAAGCAAGATGAAAAGTGTTCAGTTTTGTGGTTCAGAAAAAACAACATTGTCTAAGCAGAAGCAAGAGAAGTCCTTGGATAAACGTTCTGAAAAAAAAAACTGGCATTCTTTTAATGAAATGGACCCAGCCACGTTTTTTACAAATTAACATTCTAAGTATCACAAACACAAACTTGTTCCCAAACTTCATCTTTGCCTTCAGATCTAACTACGTGTCAAAATCATAAACTCTATCTTTTTTCTTGAGATCTCACTAGGTGTCACAACCACGAGCTTGATTATAAAATACATTTTTTTCCCTCCAAGTCTCAAAAGGTGCCATAATCACAAACGTATTCCTAAACGCCATCTTTGCCTTCAAATCTCACTAGGTGCAATGAGATTAGATTTTAGTTACTGTCGAAATACCATCGTAATTGAATATCATTAAGAAAACACAGCAATACAATCACCTTGGCTTTGTGCTAAAATAAGAAACGCTTTAAGAGGGCCTTGGTGTTTGACACAGCAGAAGTACAGAAATAAAAAATGGGAATGGTTAAATAGTTTAATAATTTGTAACACGTCTTGAAGTGTGTCATAGTTTTGCTAAACAAGGTTTGCTTTTGGAGGAACGGGATAAAGATTTGGATCATTGCAGAATTTGAACTTGTAAGGATTATAATAAATTCATAGCTCTGTGTGATGCATTCTTAGCAGGTCACATTTACAGATATGGAAACACTGGCAAATAATATCCTTCTGTCATGTAAAAACAACCAAAAGCTAGAAACTTTGACAATGTAGTTTACAAAAATGCAAAGAATTTGAGCAACAGTAAAGTAGTTATATTGGTCTTTATATTTCAAATCTCATAAGTTAGGTACTTGATCTCTAGTCACGGGATTATATAAGTCTTTATTTGTCTCTTTCCATTAGTAAGGTAGTTCATCCCTAGTAAAGTGATTATATTCGGCTCGATATTCACTTCCCGTAAGTTAGGCATTTCATCTGTAGTGACGTCATTTTATCAAGCTTTACATGTCGCTTCCCATAAGTTAGGTACTTCATCTGTAGTGACGTCATTGTATCAGGCTTTATATGTCACTTCCCATAGTTTCTGTATTTTATCTCTAGTATTGTGATTATATTAGACTTTACTTGTCGCTTCCCTTAAGTTTGGTAGTTCCTTTCTAGTCACGTGATTATAACAGGCTTTATACGTCTCTTCCCATCAACTAGTTTTTTTAATCACTAGTCACGTTTTTTCTAGTCACCTGATTATATCAGACTTTATATATTACTTCCCAGAAATTAGGTCTTTTATCCCTAATTACTTGATTATATCATGCTTTATATGTCACCTTTCATAATTCATGTACTTTATTTCTTGGTACGTGATTATATCAGTCTTTATATGTCACTTCCCATAAGTTAGATATTTCATCTGTAGTCAAGTGATTATATCAGGCTTTATATGTAACTTCCCATAAGTTAGGTATTACATCTGTAGTCAAGTGATTATATCAGGCTTTATATGTCACTTCCCATAAGTTAGATATTTCATCTGTAGTCAAGTGATTATATCAGTCTTTATATGTAACTTCCCTTAAGTTAGATATTTCATATGTAGTCAAGTGATTATATCAGGCTTTATATGTCACTTCCCATAAGTTAGATATTTCATCTGTAGTCAAGTGATTATATCAGGCTTTATATGTAACTTCCCATAAGTTAGATATTTCATCTGTAGTCAAGTGATTATATCAGGCTTTATATGTCACTTCCCATAAGTTAGGTATTTCATCTGTAGTCAAGTGATTATATCAGGCTTTATATGTAACTTCCCATAAGTTAGATATTTCATCTGTAGTCAAGTGATTATATCAGGCTTTATATGTAACTTCCCATAAAGTGGGTATTTTTTCTGTAGTCACGTGATTATATCTAGGATTTCTATGTCACTCCCCATGTTAGGTATTACATCAGTAACAACGTGATTATTTAAGGCTCTATATGTTACATCCCATTCGTTAGGTCAGTGGTTCTTAACCTTGTTGGGGGTACTGAACCCCACCAGTTTCATATAGGAAAAATAAAATATTATTATTTTTTCTGATTTTTTAGAACCTCCGCCGAACCACTGAGACTGACTCACCGAACCCCTGGGGTTCGATCGAACCCAGGTTAAGAACCACTGCGTTAGGTGCTTGATTTCAAGTCGCTTGATTATTTCAGGCTTGATACATTGACTTCTATTCACTTGATTATGCAAGGATTTTAGGTGACGTCCCAAAGTTTAGGTACTTCAAATCCAGTAACGTGTATATATCAGAATTTTTAGTTAACTTGCCCTGGGTTCTGGCCTTTTATGGCACGTCTCGTGGGTTAGGCACTTGATCTTTTGGGCTCAGGATTTTAGGTCAAGTCCCATAGTATAAGAAGTCGAGCTCGTGTAGTATAATTATGTTCGGCTTTTTAGGGCCCGTCCCATAGGTTAGAAACTTGTGATGTAGTCAATTGAATATACTGGGCTTAATATTCACTAAATCCCATTTACAGAATTTAGTTTTCACTTTGTATTTTCTTTTAATGCTCCAAATGAACACATTGTTCAAGTTCTTAATGTAAACATTTCTTCTTCTTATTTCGGGCCATATGAGTAAATATAATTTGTGAGAAAATAAAGAATGCTTATGACATAGAAAGTGTAGTGATTTTTTTTTCTTCACGCGGTCGTAAACTCAAGTCCTGCTCTAACCTAAAAAATATATTTCTAATTTTTAAATTAATTAAATAGGAAGTAAAGCAGCAGATAACAAAGAATCAACATTCACTTTGTCAACTTTATTTAACATCCTTTCTTTTTTTTATTTATTTTTAACACACAAACAACAATCATGTATCAGATATGAAAACCAGTTATTTTTATAGATTAATTCGTTTCATGCTTGAGTTTGAATTGCAGACAATGTATCCCAGGACTTACCAGGGATCCCAGGATGATGGTGAAATGTGTCCTGTTATCCGCCGGGACAAGCAATAAACCGTTGAGATGATAACTGCCTAGGGATAATCACTACAATTTTAGATCGTCCTTTTTTCTTTAATGAATAGAATACTCCCGTGAGAAAAGAGGCTTAAGGTGTGATTAGAATGGGAGCCGTATTGTTTACGGTGATAATTCTTAATCTCTAATGTCACATACACATACAAAACTGACTTACAGATGTGTGCATTTAGACAGCATGTTCTGCACTGCTGTTTTATCCAAATTTGGAAATTTCCCTGAAATGTTCAGGGTCAGATGCTTTATAGTTCTATGGTAGTTTGAGACTCGCTGGAGTAATCTTGTGAGCTAAAAAAAATAAATATATATCTTTACTTTTTTAAATTGTAAATTATGTGGATAAATATGTATTGGTCATATATAATATATAAATATACCAGCTAATATATCCCGTCATTTTGCATGGAATTTTACAGATACAAGTTTTACAGACTGGTCTTTAAGGTGTCATCTATATTTATTACTGGAGGTGGGCCCCTACAACTATCCTTAAGTTACATATTCAATGTACATTTAAAAACGTTAAAGTTCATAAACTGCAAATAACTATAAATTTAAAAGGGTCAGTTAACATAAGAAAATTGTATCGTTAAATTCCTTATCAAATTGAGCAGGTATTGCCTTTAAGATTAGTAATATTTTAGCTTGCGTCTCAAAAAGTAACCGACCCCTCCTATTCCAAATTTATCTGGATCTGCTATTTCCCTCAGAGGGTGAGGTCGCAGTCAATCAGATGGTATACTTTATCTTTTAAAGGTATGCCATATCTATTATATCAGTAGATAATACTTCAAGGTTAAAAATAATAAATATTTTTAAATTGATATTGGTGGAGTTTCTCTTGTGTTAAAACCTTGCAATTTGATTACGAGACCCCCGTAAGGCAAAAAGGTTCTCATCTCGAAGATGTAATTTAGATATGAGAAAATCACGTCTCTAATTCATATATTATCAAAGAGAGCTTCCATGATCCATTTTCTTGTTTCATTAAGAGCTCGCTCGCTGGCAGGTGTTTAAACAACAGGTTGTCTTGATGCAATCAATTTTTACAATTGCTCCCTCGGATATTTAACAAAAAAATGTTTGTCCTTCACAGTAAACTATTTCGTTGCATAAGATTCTACCATAGCGCTGAAATATCGTGTCAAATCGGGCGTTGAGAAAAATAAAAACTAAAATAAATCCGAAATTGTTAACAAAAATTCACAAAACACTCTTGAAATACGTTATCACTTCTTAAAATTAAGTTGTGATTCAATAGAAATGATGAATAAAAAATACATTTTTGCATTGTGCACGCTGCATGCGTACGATATCATTGCATCATGGAATTAAACAAAGTAAGAGCAAAAGCCAAAAAAAGAAGAAAAAAAAAGAAAAGAAAACCTCTAAAACTTTATCCTACCTCAAATTCCGTTGTGTCCATTTCAGTTGTGTACCAGGTTAGACCAACCAAGGGCATTGCCGGGGACAGTATATCAATCATTTGCTTTGTGTCTTGGATCTCTGAGGCGTGGAGCTCAACCAGTAAATGTGGGTGACTGGTGACCAAAGACTTCCACGTCTCGTAGTTTATGACGTGAGCTGATTGAGTGGAGGGTACAACAGGACAGTGTCAGTAATGTGTCAATGGAAAAAAAAACAACAAAAAAACACTTGATTGCTTTGAGCAAGTTGAAGGTGTAATATTACGTCACCTATAACTAAGTTACACATTAACTTGAATACAATTTAAGATGGCGCATGTCTTTGCAGACGCTATAGGAATTTTTAAACATCATTATGATGATAGAAATATATATCTTAAAAGGAAAACATAAGTTATCCACTTACTTGGAAGCAACTTAATCTAAATGAGACGATTGAATTTCACTCCCATACACATGACACTTAAAACTATTTAAAAAAACAAAAAACAACCTTATACGGCTTGACCAGCAATTTACAAGATTAAAACACTTTCAATGGTACATACACGTTGTTAACACTTTCAATGGTACATACACGTTGTCAACACTTTCAATGGTACATACACGTTGTCAACACTTTCAATGGTACATACATGTTGTCAACACTTTTCAATGGTACATACACGTTGTCAACACGTTTCAATGGTACATACACGTTGTCAAAAACTTTTCAATGGTACATACACGTTGTCAACACTTTCAATGGTACATACACGTTGTCAAAAACTTTTCAATGGTACATACACGTTGTCAACACTTTCAATGGTACATACACGTTGTCAAACACTTTCAATGGTACATATACGTTGTCAACACTTTCAAATGTTACATACACGTTGTCAAACACTTGCAATGGTACATACATGTTGTAAAACACTTTCAAATGGTACATACACGTTGTCAACACTTTCAAATGGTACATACACGTTGTCAACACTTTCAAATGGTACATACACGTTGTCAAACACTTTCAATGGTACATACACGTTGTCAAACACTTTCAATGGTACATACACGTTGTAAAACACTTTCAAATGGTACATACACGTTGTCAACACTTTCAATGGTACATACACGTTGTAAAACACTTTCAATGGTACATACACATTGTCAAACACTTTCAATGGTACATACACGTTGTCAACACTTTCAATGGTACATACACGTTGTCAACACTTTCAATTGTACATACACGTTGTCAACACTTTCAATGGTACATACACGTTGTCAACCCTTTCAATGGGACATACATGTTTTCTTTTTTTTTAAATATGTAATTAAAAAAAATATATAATTAGTTTAAATAACCACCAAACAACCCAACATACTGCGGTGCACAAATCCTAGAGCAAATAGTTTAATGAACGAGAGGTTGGGACATCCCTGGACCCAGGTTTTGGCCAATTTTTCAGACATCAAATCGCATTCCAGGTGAATACGAGAGAGGCCTCTGAATTTCTGAAAATGTTAAAATTTAAAAAAAAAAAAAGCGCAATTATTATTCATAAAGTTGGTAAAAAAAATAAGACTTTGGCAAACGAAAAAGTCAGTTATTTGATATTTATTTATTAAGGCACTTTTTTATAGCGCTTACCTTACAGCTCTAAGCACTTTACAATTATTAAAAATATGTAAACTATTTAAACTGCTAAAGTAAAATAAAAAGGAAAAACCACAGACACTAATAATAATAAATATTATGTCTCTCCTGGAATATGTGGGAGGGAGATTAGGCCAGCCATCATGCCCAAGTGTTAAGAAATAGTGTGGAATATGTGGGAGGGAGATTATGCCAGCCATCATGCCCAAGTGTTAAGAAATAGTGTGGAATATGTGGGAGGGAGATTAGGCCAGCCATCATGCCCAAGTGTTAAGAAATAGTATGGAATATGTGGGAGGGAGATTATGCCAGCCATCATGCAAAAGTGTTAAGAAATAGTGTGGAATATGTTGGAGGGAGATTAGGCCAGCCATCATGCCCAAGTGTAAATAAATATAGTGGAATATGTGGGAGGGAGATTAGGCCGGCCATCATGCCCAAGTGTTAAGAAATAGTGTGGAATATGTGGGAGGGAGATTAGGCCGGCCATCATGCCCAAGCGTTAAGAAATAGTGTGGAATATGTGGGAGGGAGATTAGGCCGGCCATCATGCCCAAGTGTTAAGAAATAGTGTGGAATATGTGGGAGGGAGATTAGGCCAGCCATCATGCCCAAGTGTTAAGAAATAGTGTGGAATATGTGGGAGGGAGATTAGGCCAGCCATCATGCCTAAGTGTTAAGAAATAGTGTGGAATATGTGGGAGGGAGATTAGGCCGGCCATCATGCCCAAGTGTTAAGAAATACTATGGAATATGTGAGAGGGAGATTAGGCCAGCCATCATGCCCAAGTGTTAAGAAATAGTGTGTATAGATACATTTACAAGTGAGGTCACCTTTTATTCTATTATATTAAAAAAATGATATAATTACAATCAGCGGGACAATTGTCAAACATTTAGGTAACACATTTAAAATAATAAGATAACCTAAGTAAAATAATAAGATGACCAATGTAAAATAAGAAGATAACCAAGGTAAAATAACAAGATAACCCAGGAAAAAATAAGAAGATGACCACGTAAAAACAATAAATTGACCAAGGTAAAATAAGAAAATAACTAAGATAAAATAAGATAGGCAAGGAAAATAAGAAGATCACCAAGGTAGAATAATAAATTAACGACATAAACAAATAAGATAACCAAGACAATGTAAGCTATCTTGACCTTAATGTTGTGTCTTTATGTAGATGTACGGACATACAACAACATCAAGTAAATAGTGATATCAAAGGGATGTGACAAAGACCTGCAATTCTATTAATATGCGTCCCTCTCGGTCGGTAGACCTTCCCTTTTGAAAAAGGCCATGTAAATATAGCTCTTGAATAGTAGCTGCAGAGGTCTCAGCTAGAAAGTGTAGAAACTGTAGACCGCTGTCAAGGTCAAAGTGAGAGGATTCCATTCTAAATTTCTATTTTTTTAAAAACGATAATATTAGAGTTATCATAATTACGCAACGCAACAGGGAAAGAAATATATAAGAAGTAACAAAATATTATAAATCGTTTCCATTGTCAAATAACTAAGACTGCATTATTTAAATATATATATTTTTTAATAATGATAAAAAAATAAACATCTCCTTAAAAAATTAATGTATAGATGTATGTCCCGTATGCGCTCCTACGCCAATCACTCGATTGCGCTCAAACTGTGTTGGGTTGTTGTCCGCCACCTCGCGCACTCTTGTAAGTCATTACAACGCTTTAGAATATTCCCTTTAGGGCGTTGGGTCCTAAGTTCTTTTTCTTCGGTATGATCAATTTAAATAAAATTTCCGTATACGCCCTACCCATTCCATTTATCTGATGATTGCAGTGGAATTTATTTATTTATTTAGGCATTTTTATATAGCGCTTATCATAAAGCTCTAAGCGCTTTACAATTATTAAAACATGTAAACTAAGTAAATACAAATGAGACACTAGGATAGTAACTACTATTCTATAGAAACAATGAAAATGGCTATAAAACGAGTGTTTCCAGTGTGTTTATCTGATGATTGCAGTGGAATTCCAGTGTGTTTATATGATGATTGCAGTGGAATTCCAGTGTGTTTATCTGATGATTGCAATAGAAGTCCAGTGTGTTTATCTGATGATTGCAATATAATTCCAGTGTGTTTATCTGATGATTGCAGTAGAATTCCAGTGTGTTTATCTGATGATTGCAGTAGAATTCCAGTGTGTTTATCTGATGATTGTAGTAGAATTACAGTGTGTTTATCTGATTATTGTAGTAGAATTCCAGTGTGTTTATCTGATGATTGCAGTAGAATTCCAGTGCGTTTATCTGATAATTGCAATAGAATTCCAGTGTGTTTATCTGATGATTGCAGTAGAATTCCAGTGTGTTTATCTGATGATTGCAGTAGAATTCCAGTGTGTTTATCTGATGATGCAGTAGAATTACAGTGTGTTTATCTGATGATTGCAGTAGAATTCCAGTGTGTTTATCAGATGATTGCAGTAGAATTCCAGTGTGTTTATCTGATGATGGCAGTAGAATTCTAGTGTGTTTATCTGATGATTGCAGTAGAATTCCAGTGTGTTAATCTGATGATTGCAGTAGAATTCCAGTGTGTTTATGTGATGATTGCAATAGAATTCCAGTGTGATGTGCGAATACTCGCACAGGTTTCTAAATTATTTCCAACATTTTGAAATATTTCGTTTTGAACATGGGGCCCTAACTTCCTTCTTTTTTTTTAGGGGGGGGGGGTTCTTTGTTTGGGATATATAAATAAAATTTCAAGCAGAGCTATTTCATTGGTCGACGGAATTTTAATCAAAATACATTTAGTGAAATTTCAATTGAGTGGGACAGAATGAGTAGGGTTCTGAATTAGTTAAACCATTTTACAATATTCCGTATGTGGCCGGGGGGCCCCACATTCGTTTTTTTTTTTTGTTTTGTTATTTTACCTATATTAATATAATTTTCGAATGCATTCCTATACCATTGATCCGACAAAACTATGGTGAATTGATGTGCTCCCCAATCAAAAGTTATTTTTAAACTTGAACAATCATGTTATAATATTTTGGTTTAGGCCGGGTTGGGGGGGGGGTGGGGCTAAATTTGTTTTTCTTAATGATGTAATGATTTGTAAAGCAATGATGGAACAATTCCATAATGGAATGCTAGAATTTCAATTTTTTTTTAATGAAGAGACAGTCGACATGAATCGATTGTTTGTCAAGAAATTAAAGTATACCCTAGGGAACGAAGGTATTGAACTGTGGTACTATCGTGATTTTAACACTAGATTTTGTTATTGATAAAGTAATTTAGCTCCTATATAATTGGAATACTAACGACATCAATAATCGTACCTATTGCGGGGGATTCCCAAGTGAAAATTGGGAATATCGTATCATGTGGAAACTATTAAGGTCAGGCACATGTTTACATATATGAATCGCATCAAATACAAACAGCGACATTTCAGTTTGTGTGTGACGTAACAAGCGGGTGTTAATTGCAAAATTTCCTTTGTCACTCGAAATCTTCACATGCATTTGTATTAGTCGCCACAAAGCAATAGTTTCGCTGTCAAATCTATAACGCAACCCAAACGAAAAGCTGTTGGTCTGTCTGCAGCTCTTGCACGAAATTAAGAACCATCACGGGCTTCAGAAACAGTCGAACAACGGGAATAAAGACCGAAAACCAATCGACATTGACCAAAATTTTTTTTTAAAGTCGTCACCGAAAACAGGATTTATGGGTCCATGTGGCTTAATCAACAACAATTTACAATACATGTCTGATGACAAATGCACGAAACGATACGCAAGATATTTACTTGCCTAGACTATCACTAGCAATGACGGATATCCAATCTATCGTCGAGGATAAACTTAAGATTGTGGCAAGTCAATCACTTTAAAATTACGATACAATACTGTTGAAGTCGCTGACCCTTGGGTTGCACCGTATTCAGCGTTGACACATTCCAAAACGTTCCAAGCTCACATCAATGTTGAGTGTTGCAATTCAGTGAAATCGATCAAGTACATATGGAAATATGTTAACAATGGAAGCGTTATGGCAGTTTTTGGAGAGCAAAATGCAATGGGATCCTTCGATAAAGTCTACCATTATCAATTTGGAAGCTACATTAATAGCAATGAACCAGTATGGAGCAATTTATCATTTCCAATCCATGAACGCCGCCCAACAGTTTTTCGTTTGGCAGAAAACCTTGAAAATGGACAGAGCGTGTACTTCACGTCTTACGTCTCACTTGTAAGAGCATTGTCACCTCCGCAGGCAACGTCAACTGCATTTTTTCTCATTGAGTGGGATTGATATTTTTGCAAAGACGTTACTTTACTCTGAAGTGCCAACATATTGAACATGGAATGCATCAGCGATCAAGTTTCAACGTCGCAAACAGGGTAAAGCATTTGAAGAAAACCGAGATTTATTTTAGACCGACGCATTAGTTCGTCTGTCCACTGTCAACACAAGTATTTAGGATGCTTTTACAGGCGACTTCTGTTAATCAGCGTACGTTGACAGACCTCCTTCCAAGAATCGAGAAGAGTAAATGGTCAAGTGTGTGCCACTCATCCTGAAGCTCATCAACAATTAAAACTTCTCGAAACGATGCACATTGGGAATTTCCGCTCTCTGATGCATCGACTATTGCTCAAACACAGCAAACGCTAACGTTGTTTTGCAATCATATTGACGACGTGCTTCGCATCCAATCAAAAAGATCTTCGGGAAAAATACAAAGACTACAAAAGTGAAGCCCTCCTACATCGTTTGCGTGCAAATCCGGACACCGAATTTACCCTAAACATGTATCACGAGGCATTGGTTTCGAGTGATGATATGTCTTTGGCAAACGCCAACAGAGCACCGGAAGTGTTGTTAACGACTGATCCGAATCGATCTGCAAACAATCTCTCCATTGTGATTTGCAACGAGAAACACGATGTGATATAAACCATTTGTGTACATTTGTTCTAACGAATCATCCGAAATCGGTTCCAGAACAACGCCTAGTGTATTAAAGAATTATACATGTTATTACTTATCAAAGTGGCCGTTTGTATTTTCTAGACGCACAGGCAAAACTTTTGCAATGTAACTTATTTTGAAAACCATACAATCGCGAAAAAAATAATGCACTGGTAATCGCATCATCTGAAATTGCAGCAACTCTTTTGGATGGAGGCCGAATAGCGCATTCAGCAATGAAATTGCCGTCGAATATGCAAATCACTTAAATACAAACATGCAATATAAATAAAAAATGATGGAATGGGTAAAGCACATCAATCATGTCAACTCATTAAATGGGACTAATGTACCCTGGCGCAAAAAAAAGGTATTGAAAGCGCTTTAACGTAAACTATAAAAATTTTGACGACATGAACAGCTCTTTGGTGGCGCACTTATTTAATCGTCTGGTGACTTTTGACAAACTCGATCAGTTTAACCACGTTTAACAGCTGCTGTAGAATGAAATGCACGCCGTCTGAAATCATCGGTTTTAGGGCAACGCGTACAGAAATTGTATTTGAAGTACTGTACGCGTGTACAACTACACAATGATGCATCGGCTGAACGTTTCGCAAAAACAATTGTTGGACTTTGGGAGTGTGAAAATGACAACCGATGAATCCACACAATGCGTCACATTGCCGACGAGTTTCTTTAAGATCACAGCAACCACCGACGAATGATTCATAAGGTTTTCACAAATCTCGCAAAGAATTACAGAAATCAACAGTGGCTCAGTGCACAAGCCGTATATGAGCCGCCGAAAACAAGGATGTCAATGCCATCCACTTAAAAATGAAATACCAGGTTAAGCGACAACGTATAAGTCCATCGATACTGTATTGAATCAAGACGAAGTTGTCAATTTATCCAGCGGAATTCTTGAATTCTCTTGATTTGCCAGGCATCCAGTCGCACGTTTTAACACTGAAATTTGGAGCGCTTAAAATTCCTCTACGAAATATAAATCCAATACAGCTTTGCAATAGTCCCAAGCTTTCATGGAATAAAGGTATGATGAACAATTTCATTGAAGCTACTATTTTAAATGGAAAATCTAAATAATAAGTTGCACTGTTGCAACGCATCCCAATGACTCCAACAGATATGTCATTTGAATTCTAGCTTTTGCAGTTTCAGGTGTGACCATTGACAAAGCACAGGGACAATCGCTACATGTGTGTAGACTAAATTTGAAAAACTCATGCTTCTCCAACGGACAGCTGTATGTGGCCTGCTCATGCGTCGGAAACACTTCATGTCAGTAGACGGAATAAAAAAGATATATGGTTTATGTTAAAGCTCTTTAAGAAACATAATTAAAATTTAAAAAAAACTTTCTTTCGTTCAAAGGCAACGCATGCCGAGTACACTCTCGTAATTCATATATTATCTCATAGACTCATGTTTAAAACCAAATATTCTCGACGTACAAAAAATAATAACATATTTTACTTAACATATATTGTTTCTTTTTTTTTTTTAAATGAGATTGCAACCCGAACACACCGACCCTACCGCCCAGTAAGAAAGCAACAGCAACAACGCTTAAAAAAGCTTTGAACTAATGGGACTCTCAATCTCTCCGAACTCAATCCTTTCTCCAAGGTAAGTAACAGATTACATGTTATTTTTACCTGCAGTGAATTCTGATTTTTTAGTAATCTTTTGAGAGCGTCTAGAAAATCTTTTCGCATCTGCCGTTTGACGCTGTCTAGTTCCAGATAGTTAATAGAAATATTTCTGAGTTTGGCGCCATCCAAACATGTGGAGAGCTCTTTGAAGTCGTCGACGATTTCCTTAATCCCACGGATCAGCAGGAAGTTAATTTCAATATCTTGAAGTGAGGTCGGGAACTTTTTGACGAATTTGATCGCACACTTTCCTAATTAGATATAAATTAAGAATATGTAATTTAGAAACAGAAATTCTGGAACAAATGGTTCAACGTACAGCATGGAAAACAAAGAAAAGACAATGTGGTGTCGTGACTATAAAATATTACCAGGGCTGCGCGTACATTATTTGACGACTCGTGGAACACGTCACACCAGTTACAGTCTACCAGTGTTTTATTTGTTTATAGTTCTAGCAGAGTATGATTAAGTTGGTTTCAATATTTGTGTCGTCCTAGAAGCAAATTTTAAGGCGTGTTGTTTATGTAATAATGTTATTTGTACCACTAAATTATTTGCAACAGTACACTAGTTGTACTTGTGTGGTACCTTGACCAGAAAGTGATCTTTTAACGTTATCTGAGTTGTAGAGTCGGTGTCCCTAAATCCGTTGCACCGGTATGGCTAGGTGTACCGGAATGCACGTTTTTTTTAAAAAGTATTTCCTTGTAACAGTGTATAGCCGCTACTTTACCGTACCGTACGACACTGTTAACCCCTCTTCGGAATTAAATAAGGCGTCAGCTTTGATATCTCTCTTTGATCTTCTTCCGCAGAACTCGATGAAACGCCTTCTCCATAGCGCCGGAACTTGGAAGCCTTGGTACCAGGTCTTGCAAACCTTAGCAGGGAAAATTAAACATGTGATTTATGGGCGTGGCCATATATGTGGGACGTTAAGTGGCAGGACCTGGTTAATCTTTTGTTTTTGTTGTTGTTTTTTAACGTATAATTATTTTTTTTAAACGTTCAGTTTCTGCACATAAATAATCTAAGAAATATTTGGAACAAAAGGGGGTTGCTGAGAGTCCGTTCATAATGGTGTAGTAATAAAGGATTTGAACTTAGAGCTTTATTTGTAATTTCTCGGATGGTATTTTGACATCTCTCTTTGTGTATTTACCAATCGATGTGATCATTACCCCAACCCAATTGACAAATAAATATGTATTTATCCGTTTGTAATTTTGGAGTGCCATAATTTTAACTTAAAGGTAAATTTGTAAAATGAAAGAAAAAAAAGTTTTAAAATGTTATTTATTAATTCTAAATTAATCCAAACACTTACCTGTTCTTACACCAATTATTAAGTTTCTTCACACACCAATCCTCTCATGCCCTCATCGTGACACCGATCGCTAAATTTATCCACACATCAAGCTGTATTCGCTCATCTGTCCTCTCATTCATTCACTCAACCTTACACCAAGCATTGCGTTTATTCACACATCCAAACTCTTATTCACTCACTCATCCTTGCAGTTATCCAGAATTTTCTTCACACATCCAGCTTATATTTTATTCTCTTATCCATCATTTAGTCGATCTACAATTATTCATATTTTGGTGAGGTCCGAACTCACGCTCTCCACCATATCGGCTAACACACTAACAAATAGCTCCTTCCGTTTGGCTATGCAATGATACATTTTACGTTGGGCTCGCATGCCTCCCTGGCCTTCAATAGTTCAGATTAGGGGCACGAATTCGACAAGTTTACAACTAGCACTGTAGGCCATTTGCAGATACAGACAGTTTTGGGTTTATAAGGGCAAATGACAAATCTCCATCTGATGTACCAAGCTATTTTGATCTCAGTTTCCAATAAGGGTCCGACTTTCTGGGAGGAGGCCAACTTAAGCGTAAATTTTGAATAATACCACACTGTCTTAAGTGATCCTCAAACAAATATTTGATATCTAAAATAATGACTAGTTTCCTGGCTGGTGGCTTGGCATTCCTGGTTTTAACTAATGTATCAGTTTGTTTATGTCCCTTAATCCTCTGCTCTTATGTGACGCATTTCCCGATAAGCTTTCTTGTACTTCCTGGTTGTTGTTGCCAACGTCATTGACAAACGGCTTATACCATGAGAGTGCTTATTGCTAGAATTGGCATGTACAATCTCAACATCGAGCCCCCGTAAAGATCCAGTCGTAAAGACCCCTGTGAAACCGTTCAGTGCTCCGATGAAAGCCTCGCGTCGAAACACTACGTTGCAGTCTTGCGGTGTCACGAAATTATTCACCAACACTTAGGCTCAGGAACGTTGACACCCGAGTAAAGTTATTGCAGGTTTGAATAGATCCCAAACCCCTACATTCATCCGATCCAATCATGTCTCCACCAACCATATTTCCATCCTTGTTACCAGCTATACTTCCTCATGATTTTCTATTCTTTCATTTGACAATAATATCTGTTCAAGCCGAATTCGTGAAACAAAATTCATTACCCTGGCCATGGATAACCTGTCGAGATCACCCAAGTTCTGGTAGATGCCAAAAAGAGCGGTGGCGGGAAGTCGGCTCCACAGTGGGTTTTCATGGTTACAGTCGTCTGGCTCTTTTCTTGTTTTCGTCAGCATTTCTGGTGTCCTTTTCTTTTTCACTTTGCTTTCCATTTCATTCATAATTAGTCACGGATTCACGCCAGATATTTATTCAAAAAATACAATTAAAGTATTTAAAAATTATTTTTATTTTTAATGTTAAGAAATACAAGAAACTGCATTGGCCTATTCAATGAAGTTTAATGCGGTGATGTGATTTTAAAAGAAACAGTGCTAAATAGTGTCAAAAGTTAAGTCTTGTTTGGAAATTCCCGACTAACTTGCAAAATACATACTTTTTAAAATTGTGTAAAGCCAGAAATACCCGTCTCGTCTCCATAAAACAATTGATACTCTAAATATAGGTGTCATTTTGATGAGCATTTTCATAGGAGGAATCAAACATAAAGTTTTTGGAAAAAAAAAGAAGAAAAAAGCGGAGGGAAAAAAAAAACCTCCCTTGAAAAGATAAGTAGAATAATTGTTTCACTATAACATGTCTTCTTCTCCTCTTCTCTATATTGACGGCCCACGATCCATGTTTTGAGCATTCTGCCTCTTATATATGTTGAGGGGATTTGTATGTTTCTGTGCCTGGTGTCGGAGATAATGTTTCACAGGTTGCAAGGGCTAATCAGCTAGGGTATTGTGAACTGGGGGGTTTGAAGGCCTGAATGTGCTATATATCTTGGGAAGCCATAATATACTATTCTACCAGTAGGAACCGATTCTAACAATACTAACAGAAATAACCCCAAAAAAGAGCATTCGATTGCTGGAGCTGGAGCCGTTGCAAAGAAGGACATTTAAGAAGAAGTTGTTTTGTTTTTTTTTAAAAAGATGATTAAATTTAATATAACAAGGTAGAAGACATGACTGCAATCAAAGCAGGAAAGTTCATCATCAACACAACATATGATAAGAAACTAATAGAAGACTATCAACCAATAACAGTCTGCTGCAAAGACATACTTATGAAAGAGGAAGATCATATAGTCATCATACTCCAGCTACACTATTGAACAGTAAAGGACAGTTAGGCTTCTATCCAGCTTATGTTAATTGAACAAGAAACATGTCTCACAGGCACTGGGTGTTGAATCATTGTTGTTGATTGATCTTTTGTGAAACAAAATCAATCTCTTACATCAATAGAAAACATTAGGCTGTGAGATTGACATTACAGAATTTAAAAGAGCAATAGCTTGATACACTTGGGTGAAAGACAAAATCAAAGCCGTTGTCATGGATAGATCTATTATAACATTGATAACTGGACATTTTCTAGACATGATGCCGGACATTTCAAAAATGTTATTGAAACAGTGGCTAATGAGAAGACAACAAAGAAAACTGCATACTTCCATGCAGATAGAACAAAAAAAAGATGCTAGTCTAGAAAGGTAATAACACAGTGATAGTGCATATGTTAGATTTAGACAAGAAAGACGTGGTAGAGAATATCAACTTTTTTAAGAATAAAACTGAAAAAATTAGACTGAAACTAAAATGTATATTTCAAAAGTACAGTTCAAACATTACAAATACACCAGGCAAATACAGAAGTAATAAAATAGGGCATCGGGGTAAGCGATGCGACTAGATTTAAGATCTAGCCACATCAAATACCTTATTTCTCGAGAAATACTTCAGTTGCAGAAAGTCAGAACTCATTGGAACAAGACTTGATCAGAAATCTAAATTATGCTCATTCTTCTCCTTTTGCCATTGTAAAGAAGAAAACATGGTAACATTAGACTGTGTTGTGATTACAGGAGATTAAATCAAGTTACTGTAATAGATAGAGGACCTTTGCCTAATACAGAGGCTCTTATCAATCAAATAGCAAGACACATTATAGAGTCACGTGTAGGTTTGACAAGAAGGTTTTGGCTAATCAAGATGGAAGAGAGAGCTAAACACTTTGTGAGATTACTCACACACAGTGGTTTTTTATGACTGGAATGTTATGTCTTTGAAACTAGTGGACAGCACAGCCACATTCGTAGAATTGTTGAACAGGATTTTAAACAAGATAGCAAACGTTAGACACTAGATTTTAAACAGGGTACCAAACATTAGACGATGTGTCGATTACATATATGTGTTGACTAAAGACTGAAAAACACATCTAACAAACCCTAAAAGAAGAATTCTTTTCATCAGTAACGAAAATGGTCTCACCATACCACGGGACAAGTTAAACAGTGGTCTATATAGATTTGATTCTTTAGGTTATTCCATAGGGTACAAATCAAATCAGACACATTGACATCCACATGGTAAGAAAATATTGAATTTAACAATACCAGTAAGCAAGAAGCATTGTAACCTGTGAGAGCATTGATAGGACAGCGCTTCTTTCTAGCGACAGTTCATCCAGCCAATTTAGCCCAGGATTTAAATGCTCTAGTAAAATTGACAAATTAAGGATCAACAGAGTTACGGCAACAAAAAGTAATTGGCGGGAAATAAGGCTCTACCTTGGAGGTTGTGGTTCGATGGAAGCGTTACCGTCTCTGGCCCATGAAGGAAGGTCTGATGAGCTGGTTCGTCCCCATGCGCCACGGTTTGCGGTAGTAGGGAGACGTTAGATTCTGGTGAGGTGGTTCGTCCCCATGCGCCACGGTTTGCGGTAGTAGGGAGACGTTAGATTCTGGTGAGCTGGTTCGTCCCCATGCGCCACGGTTTGCGGTAGTAGGGAGGCGTTATCTAACGCCAACTACATAGTTATCCGAAGAAAAAAAAAATTTTCATCGATATCTTGATCCGTACCGCGTGGCCCGACTCTAGCTACGCCACTGATTGTAGTCCTGACATTTTCACACGTGATCCCTGGGAGTACTGCATCCTTAAATCGAGATCTACATTACCGTTTTCGTTTCTAAAAAAAGATTGGCAACAATAACAACATTTTAAAATTCATTCGAGTGGCCATGAAGTTTTCTTTTTTTTTTCTTTTTAACCTTTTTTTTTTTTTTTTTCTCTTTTTTTTTTTTTTTTTTAAAGAAATGATTAAGGTTGTTTGTCAAATGAGGTGCACTGCTGTGACACGAATTAAAAGTGGCAATACAACACGTCATTTTAAATTCATACATGTGACAATTCCCGAATAATACACGAATGAAAATGAGTTGAAGAAATTAAAATTGCTTCATATAAAATTTTATTATTTTTTTTAATTAAAAAAAAATTATTTTTTTTGTTATTTAAGACCAAGTTATTATTAAAATATGTGCACAATCTACCATCTTTCTTTTCCGCTAATTTCAAACTGGCTCAAAGGGTACTTCAATACTTGTCTTTCCCCGGTAACTAGCCACTGCTACAATAATGGCAATGCGTTCATATTGGTTTTCTCAGCGCCCGTCTAGTCACAGGATTAAATTGTTTACATCAATATTATGTTACCGCCCTGACGTTATTGCCAACACTTCTACTCATCAGAATCTCATTTGTTGAACTTTGCATCTTATAATATATGCCAACATGTGTTATTGCCAACAAGTGTTATTACCAACATGTGTTATAGCCAACATGTTTTTGCCAACATGTGTTATTACCAACATGTGTTATGGCCAACATGTGTTATTGCCAACATGTGTTATTGCCAACATGTTTTTTCCAACATGTGTTATTACCAACATGTGTTATTGCCAACATGTGTTATTACCAACATGTGTTATTGCCAACATGTGTTATTGCCAATATGTGTTATTGCCAACATGTGTTATTACAACATGTGTTATTACCAACATGTGTTATTACCAACATGTGTTATTGCCAACATGTGTTATTTCCAACATGTGTTATTGCCAACATGTGTTATTGCCATCATGTGTTATTGCCAACATTTGTTATTACCAACATGTGTTATTGCCAATATGTGTTATTGCCAACATGTGTTATTGCCAACATGTGTTATTACCAACATGTGTTATTACCAACATGTGTTGTTGCCGACATGTGTTATTGCCAACATGTGTTATTACTAACATGTGTTATTGCCAACATGTGTTATTGCTTACTGAAACCATCGTACTGGGGTAGTCATCTCCACAATAACAAAACAATGATAATTGTTGGCCCTCAACCCATTAGGGATTTTATCTAAAAAATAGAGCTTGTTAAGAACTTGTATTTACTCCACAGTATGCAAACACGAAGTTCCTTGTGACTACACCTGCCCACGTGTTTCGACTTGGGCGTAAGGTTTGTCTGTGAATGGTTGAGTGCTGAGTGCTGAGTGCTGAGCATTGTTGCCTAAAGTGTAACACTTTGAGGGACGGGGTGGAACGACGGGCGCGGTAAAACACAGAGCCGTCTGTAATTTGAGATGGTCTATTATTGATCGCCTGCTATCGATCAGAGATTACTTCGATCGCGTCTGTGGGTTACCCCTAATCTGTAGTCTCTAATCAGCGCCTTTGTGGGCCCGACTTCTTAGACTTAAGACAAACACCTCACGTGTTGCTGGGTAATCATTTCAGTGGCGTTTCCACTACATTGGGCGAGCATATTACATTTGTTACAATTCATTGCAATGGCTTAAGGGTAAATAAATCGAGATTTTTAAAAAATTATTATTATGATATTCAGATGTCATGATGGGCTTCCAAAGATCCATATTAAATAGTATGCATATAATTATGCTGATAGTATGATACACCGAGGACGATCATGGGAATTGGGGTGGGGTATAGTAAGGGTAAATGCATCGGCGTTATCTCTAAGGGGGCACCAAAATCATCATTAAAATTTTTGTTTATATATGCTTTTTGGGAATGGGGAGTTCTATTCAGGCTTAGCTCTGGGCGCGGATTTTGCTTCCAATATACCTGTCATTGAGACGTCATAGTGAATCATTGGTGAACAACCTTTTAGAAATATTTATTAAATTTGTGATTTTAAAAAGTTGTACTTTTTTAAAATTGAAAAATAAAATAAATAAATACAAAAAAAACAGTAAACTCTCACTGAGGTTCAAGGAAAATCATACGAAAAACACTATAATTATAAAATTGTTAAAAAAATTTTAAACGATGAAGTGTA